CCTCTATACGTGAGTGAGGTAATGGCGCCCTCTATACGTGAGGTAATGGCGCCCTCTATACGTAAGTGAGGTAATGGCGCCCTCTATACGTAAGTGAGATAATGGCGCCCTCTATACGTGAGTGAGGTAATGGCGCCCTCTATACGGAAGTGAGGTAATGGCGCCCTCTATACGTTAGTGAGGTAATGGCGCCCTCTATACGTCAGTGAGGTAATGGCGCCCTCTATACGTAAGTGAGGTAATGGCGCCCTCTATACGTCAGTGAAGTAACGGCGCCCTCTATACGTAAGTGAGGTAATGGCGCCCTCTATACGTAAGTGAGATAATGGCGCCCTCTATACGTGAGTGAGGTAATGGCGCCCTCTATACGGAAGTGAGGTAATGGCGCCCTCTATACGTAAGTGAGGTAACGGCACCCTCTATACGCGAGTGAGGTAATGGCGCCTTCTACACGTGAGTGAGGTAATGGCGCCCTCTATACAGAAGTGAGGTAATGGCGCCCTCTATACGGAAGTGAGGTAATGGCGCCCTCTATACGGAAGTGAGGTAATGGCGCTTTCTATACGTGAGTGAAGTAATGGCGCCCTCTATACGTAAGTGAGGTAATGGCACCTTCTGTACGTGAGGTAATGGCGCCCTCTATACGTGAGGTAATGGCGCCCTCTATACGTCAGGTCATGGCGCCCTCTATATGTGAGGTAATGGCGCCCTCTATGAGTAAGGTAATGAATGAGATGATGCCCTCTATAAATGAAATGATATCACCCTCTGAAGGTAAGGTAATAGCGCCATCTATATGTGGAATAATAGCGCCCTCTATAAAAAGTGAGTTAATGGCATCATCTACATCTGAGATGATGTCTCCCTCTATATGTGAGATGGTTACGCCCCCTATATGTGAGATTATTACGCCCCCTTATATGTGAATTGATAACGCTCCCTATATGTGTAAAGTAACGGTGCACTCTACGTGTGAGATGCCAGTGCCCTCTATATTCACTGTATTGGCATCATCTTTACGTCAGGTATATAGCGCCATCTATATTTACGCTAATGTTAACATCTATACGTGACATGTAGCGCCGTCTATATTTAAGATAATGCTATCTTCTTATATGTGAGATGATGACATACCTTGTGAATGTGTGGTGTTGGCGCCCTCTATGTGTCTATTTCGGGTAATAACACCCTATATAGTATGTACGTAGTAACTAGATTTCTTAGTTAGCGCCGAATTATATTAGCATTGTATTAGTCAGCAGAATCCAGGCTATACATGGCTGTACCGAGGACCGGATTAATCCAGGGTATACATGGCTGTACCGAGGACCGGATTAATCCAGGGTATACATGGCTGTACCGAAAACCGGATTAATCCAGGGTATACATGGCTGTACCGAGAACCGGATTAATCCAGGGTATACATGGCTGTACCGAGAACCGGATTAATCCAGGGTATACCTGGCTGTACCGAGGACCGGATTAATCCAGGGTATACCTGGCTGTACCGAGACCCGGATTAATCCAGGGTATACATGGCTGTACCGAGAACCGGATTAATCCAGGGTATACCTGGCTGTACCGAAGACCGGATTAATCCAGGGTATACGTGACTTTACCTATAGACGGATTATTGCAGTGTTATTATTTCAGTGTATGCGAGATTGTAGCTATGACATCTGTTGGATAATCCCCGTGTACACCTGGTTGTATCCAGGCATGGATCCATGACCAAATTATCGCTGTGTATACGTGGTTGTATCTATGGTTGGATTATCGCTGTGTATACATGGTTGTATCTATGGTTGGATTATCGCTGTGTATACATGGTTGTATCTATGGTCGGATTATCGCTGTGTATACATGGTTGTAACTATGGTCGGATTATCGCTGTGTATACATGGTTATATCTATGGTCGGATTATCGCTGTGTATACATGGTTGTAACTATGACCGGATTATCGCTGTGTATACATGGTTGTAACTATGGTCGGATTATCGCTGTGTATACATGGTTGTAACTATGGTCGGATTATCG